AAAAGGGTATGTTCATCCAATATCAACAAAATGGAAAATGTAAATAAAAACTTACACCTACAAAAAAAATCGGGTCTTGATGGCTTCACTCCTGAATTCTACAAGACATTCAGAGAAGAAGTGTTGCTACTACTGTTTAAACTCTTCAGTGAAATGGAAAGGGAAGCAGTACTGTCAAATTCATTCCTGGAAACAAGCATCACCTTGATTCCAAAAGCAGAGAAAGACACAGCTGAAAAAGAAAACTATAGGCCAATCTCACAAATGGACATAGATGCAAAAATCCTCAATAAAATACTGGCAAACAAAATGCAAAAGATTATCAGAAAGATCATATGCCCTGAGCAAGTGGGATTCATTCCAGGGATGCAGGGATGGTTCGATGTATGCAAATCAATAAATTAATACAATATATTAGAGCCAGGGACAAAAAACATATAATCATCTCAATAGATGTAAGAAAAGCATTCAACAAAAACCCAACACACATTCATGATAAAAAACTTAGGAAATTTTGAATGCATGGGTCTCTACCTCAACCTAATAAAAGCCATCTATGAAAAATGAATAGCCAATATTGTACTAAATGGTCAAAAACTGAAATCCTTCACAGTAAAATCAGGGCCATGACATGGATGTCCACTATCACCACTCCTGTTCAATATAGTTTAATTATATTTCCACAATTAGACAATTGAAAGAAGTAAAAAGAATAAAGATAGGAAACTCAGAAGTGAAACTTTCATTTGCAAATGTTATGATACTCTACATAGAAGACTACAAGATCTTCACCAAACGTCTTCTAGACTTAATAACCAAGTTCAATAAAGTAGCCGAATACAAGGCCAACACACAAAAATCAGTAGTTTTCCTGTATATGAACAACAGACTCACTGAGAGACCAACTGGAGAAACAACTGCTTTAACAATAGCATCCAAAAAAAAAATGAAATACCTAGGAATCAGCCTAACAAAAGAAATCAAAGACCTCTGCTCTGAAAACTACAGCACTCTGAAAAAAGAGATTGAAGAGAATATCAGAAAATGGATAAAGAAGATGTGTTTTTTCTATAAAATGGAATATTACTCAGCCATACAGAATGAGAAATTAGAGTCATTCATAGGAAAATGGATGCATATTGAGGTTATACTCAAGTGAAATAAGTCACACGTGTAAATACTGAATAGTTTCTCTGGCATGAAAAACTATAATTATAAATAACATCCTAATGGTATAATTGACAGTGTGTAATAGGAGGAAAAGGGCTAAAGGTGTAGGGGAAGAGGGAAGGGTAGAGGAAAGGAAACAAGGGAAAAGAAAAAAACATGAGAAAATGAGAAAATGGAAAAAAAAATTTTTGTAACTAGGGAAGCGGGGGAAGGGGTATGGGGAAAAAATGAGAACCAAGACCTGTCATGTAAAGGTACAAGATCCCAATAATGAATGTAACTGTATTGTACACCTAAAATGTACCAATAAACTCAATGAGAAAAAAAAAAAGATATCCCTTGCTCCTGCATAGGAAAAATCAATATAGTGAAAATGGCTGTATTTCCAAAACTGCTATACAGATTCAATGTAATCCCAATTGAAATTGCAGTAGCATGCTTTACAGAACTTGAGAAAACAATCCAAAATTTATTTGGAACAAGAAAAAGCCTAGAATAGCAAAAGCAATTCTAGTTAACAAAGACAAGGTAGGGGATATCACAATCCCCAACTTGAAACTATGCTAAACCAGTATTTGTGATTCTTATAAACTTAATCTATAAATTATCAAACTTTCATATTAGGGACTACTGGTTATGAGTCACTTTTTTCATAAGAGGATGAGGTTATCAAATATTTTGGAAAATATTTTTCCAGGGCAGAAAAGTTTCATGGTCTTAGTTACTTGATATGCCTGTTCTACTTAAATACAACATTCAGTCATTCTGTTCTGAGAAATAGAGAGAGAGATAGATAGATAGATAGATAGATAGATAGATAGATAGATAGATAGATAGATTGATGTATCTTTTTTTTTTTTTTTTGTCTGCTCTGCTGGACGTTAAACCCAACATGCTAGGCAAGCACTAAGCTACAACTCCAGCTCTTATACATGAGATGTTAAGAAGTCTTCTAGTTGATCACAAAATCATATTTCAATATATCTACAAGTATCAATCTATTTTCTTAGGTGTAGTGTTAATTTAAAGACCTGTAACAGCCTGAATAGTGTGGCACCTTGAAATTTCTTCTACCAGATTAGTCTATGGCTCTTAATTTTAGGCCACCACAAAGTCTCAGGACATAGGCAAAATATAGACAATTTTTTGCAGGAGTATAATGCACATGTTCTTTAGTCCCATTGCCAATGAAGTCTTTGTTCCCAACAGAAACCTCCTGAGCCTGGCCTGTACTGTCTACATTCTGATCAGCATTTTTATCTTTTGAACTCAGAACAGAATCATACATCAAGCTCTGCTTAGAGCATTTCAGAGCTTCACTAGCTGGCATCTCTAAACTTTTCCAAATTCTTCCGCAAAACCAGCTCCAACAGCTTCTAAACCACATAGTCAGAATCGGTCATTAGTGACCACACTTCTGGTACCAATTTTCTATATTAGCTAGATTTCCAGTTGCTGGGATACCCAACAGCTACAACTTAAAGGAACAAACATTTAACTTGGTTCATGAGTTCAGGGGATTTGGTCTTTGATTGGTTGGCTGGAGGGCAGAAAATTCAAGGTTCAGGAGAGTTGGCAAAGTTGCACACCAGAATGAGGCTGGGAAACAGACTGGGGAAACAGTCTCACAGAGGAAGGGACGAGGGACCAGATATCAACTCCAGGATCCTGCCTTCATGTCCTACTTAGATACACTTGTATGTGTGCTTTGCCAATTCTATGGGGGCTAATCAATTTGACAATCTGTATTAACCATTACCTGCTTTTTCTTTCACCTATGAATGATTTATCTAGACACTAGACATATAGTTACTTCTTATTGATAAAATTGAAAGGTTTATTAATTTGAATAGTAATTTGAATGATATAGGCATTTTTCCAGCTAAAACAATATATATATATATATATATATCTCACAACTTGGTTATAACTTCAAAATGTTTACCTATTTTTAGAGCAACACTAAATGAATCCCCTTTTCCATGTCCCTGTTCTCAAATAAAATCGTTAAGTACATTCAGTATTTTCTAAATTGCTTACTGTTCTTCTAATCTACCTATGAAATACCCTTTAAATACTTCTGTGTTTGATAGAACATTAAGAGAATGTGTTACCATATTTTTCAATGCGGAGAACTGCATTGTCTCTGTGTTGTATTATGGTTTCTTAGTTCTTAGATCCTCCTGGAGATTTATATTGAGGTCTATGGAGAGAGAGTCAAAAGTTGCAAGTTTGGTGAGCCCGTTTACTGGGGGAAAAAAAACAATATAATTTAAGTAAGCATTTTATGAAGGACAAATATATATTCCATTTGTATATCATAAAAACTGTTGAAGTCTGTTATTTACCTTTGTGCTCTTGTTTGTAGTCAAGATCAGTGACATAGATTGACTCTGGGGATTTTTATTTCCACTTACTCCATTCTCATATTTATTTATAAAAATCTATTCCTATTTTTAAATTTTTGTTTTCTGATGCTAATTATAGTAAAGATTTCCTCCCAAATAAACCAAATCTTTATACTGGAAATAATTTGGAAAATCTTTTAGTTTTTTTGTAAATTCAGACACTATGCATAGGAATTTAAAATTGTATCACCTCAATAACAGGAAATTGCTAACGTTCTGCTACCACTGTTTTTCTATAGTTCTGTACTACCACTTTGATGGTCATTATCCAATGTAAGGGGCATATCAACCTGCAAAATAATGTAGTTTTCTTTGCTTCTGTTTTACAGGAAAAGCACTAGATGATACCACAATGGCTATGTAAAGATTTTTTGGCTTTAGATTATTTTTCCCTTCCATTTTTCTTCAGTTCTTAAGTAGGCAATTCAGTATCTGGATTTTGATAAAATTTTTAAACTGAAAATATACTAATAATTTACATATCATAAAATAAATAAAATTTTCTCATCAAAAAGTGTTTTTAAGCTGGGCATGGTGGCGTGTGCCTGTAACCCCAGCACTCGGGAGACTGAAGCAGAAAGATCGCTGCGTGTTCGAGACCAGCCTGGGCTACATAGTGAGTTCCAGGTCAGTCTCAACTACATAGTGAGACCCTGTCTCAAAAAACAAACAAACGAAAAACTGTGTTTTTAATGGAATTAGTTTAAATGATTTCCAAGTGTGGCATGCTGGCCATATTGCACATGAAACCTCAACGCTGATAAATGTTATCAGTGTCCTGTATTACTGTAGTAACTTTACTTTTGCTTCTCCTATTTGTAGGAATTTTTCTAATCTCATGAGAATTCCTAGATTTCGCCTGTTAGAATTCCTAGACTCTTGATTTAAAGTTTCTGAGATGTTTCTTTTTATCCTTGTATATTTTCATTATTTACACTAGTATTCATCAAAAGAAATATAATGTAAGCTGCATATGTATTTTAAATTACATCGTAGCCAAATTTTTTAAAGGATAAATGAGTGAAATTAACTTTACTATTTCATTAGTATGGTCTTACTTAATCACACATACCTAAGTATCATTTCAACATGTAATCAACATTTAAAATGTTGGTATTTTACTTTTTTTCTTTTAATGAAGTCTTCAGTTTCTGTTATGCGTTTTACATTGCAGCACACCTCAGTTCACACTAAACACATTTGTATGTGCACCAGCCCATGGCTAATTGGAAAGCACTGGCAGGCCTGCAGGTGATAAGAGCAATACTCCTGACAAATAGAGCTCCCAGAAATTCACACTGAGCTGCTGTGTGGTAGAAAATTATTTGTATTAACAAAACTGAAAGCCTACAAATGTTTTGTGTTGTTTTCCAAATACATGAAAACATAACCAACTTACAAAATTAATCTTACACTTTTCAGAAAAAGGTATCAAGGAAGGAGTCTTGAAAATCAAAGAAGAGCCATCTAAAATACTGTCTGGAAATAAATTTCAAGACCGATATTTTGTTCTACGAGATGGATGCCTTTTTCTTTACAAGGACTCAAAGGTAATTGTAGAAGTAGAATTTGAACATGTGCACATTATTATTTGTATAGTGTGGTCATTTATGTTTTTGTTTTATACTGCTCTCGGCCATGACTTCAAGACACCACCTGTAGTAAAGAAAGTGCAATAGTAACCTTCTGATTTTTTTTTTTCAACCTCTGGTATATGACATTAGTACCCTCAGGAATACAGTAGAAAATTTTCTCTAGCCTTTCAAAGCACCTTAAGTTTTTAGGACACAGAATGACTTAGGTCCTGAAGAAGTGTTTAATATGTGTTATATAAAATAGCTTAGAAATCGGCATCTTATTGAATAATATTGAGAATGTGTCATAACCTAAGGCAAGATGCTTATACTACTAATGGAAATTAAAGAAAAGTGGCATAAAAAGGCAAAATCCAGAGGGGATAATGAATTTTAATATCTTTTGTATGCATTTGAACAAAATGACTTATTTAATGTTATATTTACAATTTATATCATTGTTCTCTGGGTTTTTTTTGTTGTTGTTTTGTTTTGTTTTCTTTTCTTTTCTTTTTTTGAGACAGGGTCTCACTATGTAGTTGAGACTGACCTGGAACTCACTATGTAGCCCAGGCTGGTCTCAAACTCACAGTGATCCTCCTGCCTCAGCTGCCTGAGTGCTGGGATTACAGGCATGCGCCACCACTTCCAGCTGAAAAGAATTTTAATAAGGCATTGTGGAGTAGAGAGAAAAACTAGAGATCTAAACATGTAGAGTTAGTTAAATGACATACAGATGAGAATGCTGAATTTAGCATCAGAAAATCTCATCTCTGCTATAGCTGGTTGTGTAAATAAGTAATTTAGCCTCTTAATCTCAATTTCTGGATGTGTAATATGTTGCTAGTATGAGCCTTGCAGTCTGGTTTATTTGGATGCTTAAGAATATATGTAAAATTATATTTTAAACTGTGAAACATTTTATAAATATATATATGGTAATAATAACATGCTCATTAAAGACACCACAAGAATATGAATAGCTAGGTTAAGACTGAAAAGAATATTATAATGCATATATCTGTAAAAGGACTCATGTCCAGTATATAAACTGCTCTTCCAAATCAGTAACAAGAAAGTTAACCCAATAAATAGTTGGGCAAAGAGTTGAAAAGATACTACATGAAGAAAGATATGGAAATGTCCAAGAAGCTGTTGAAACAAAAGTGGTCAAATTTATTAATCATTAGGGAATTTAAGTTAAAACTTTCGACCCATGTCTGACTAAAATAATGAGTGACAACCCCTGAATTCACAAGAATGTGGGTTAATGAGTAATATCATAAATTGCTGGTGCAAAAGTGAAATCAGACAATTACTGTGTAGAATTGTTATGAGTTTTTTTTCTCATTGAGTTTATTGTTACTTTTTAGATATACAGTACAGTTACATTCATCATTGGGCTGCTGTACCTTTACATAACTGGTCTTGGTTCTCATTTTTTCCCCTTAACCCCTGCCCTCCCTTTACTCCCTGTTCCCTTCCCTATTTACAAAAAGTTTATTTCCATTTTTTCAATTTTGCATATTTTTTTTTCTTTTCCCTTTTTTCCTTTCCCCTACCCTTCCCACTTCCCCTACACCTTTAGCCTTTTTCTTCCTATTACACGTTATCAATTATACCATTAGGATCTTATTTACAATTACAGTTTTTTTGCACCAGAGAAACTATTTGGTATTTACACGTGTGACTTATTTATTTCACTTAAAAGTATGACCTCAATATGCAAAATGTTCCACATCACTGGTCATTCAAGCGATGCAGATGAAAACAACACAGATTCCACCTCTCCCGACAAAGAATGGCTGCTATCAAGAAGTCAACCAATGACAAATATTGGCGGGGATATGGGGAGAAAGGAGCCCTTCTCCATTGTCGGTGGGAGTGCAGACTGGTGCAACCGCTATGGAAATCAATACGGAGATACCTCAAAGAGCTGGGACTAGAGGTTCCATTTGACCCAGCCATCCCTCTGCTGGGTATCTTTCCAAAAGAATGAAAAGAATCATATGACAGCATGTATCACAGTGATACATGCTCACCTATGTTTATAGTGGCATGGTTTGTAACAGCTAAATCTTGGAGACAGCCCATTTGCCCATCAGTTGGAGACTGGATAAAGAAGGTGTGTTTTTTCTATAAAATGGAATACTACTCAGCCATAAAGAATGAGAAATTAGAGTCATTCATAGGAAAAAGGAGTTTTTTTTTTTTTTTTAATTATTCAAACCTTTGCCCTGTATACCAGAAGTTCTACTCTGGAATGTCCACAAAAGAATCTGTACAAAAGTGTTCAATGGCAGCTTTATTCTTAACAGCCTAAGCCTGGAAATATTCCAGATGCCCTGGGAAGGAGAATGACCTACTTATACAATGCGATTACTACTCATCAGTAAAAATGAATTGACATTCACACCCAACAGTGATGAACCAGGAACCTCAACACAGAATAGTAACCATATGCAAAACCATTCTGTGGTGACAGAAGTCAGATCTTTGCTTAGGTTGGGAAGAATGTTGGGGAAAGTCAGTAGGGCACCTTACAGATAGAAACATTCTCTATCCTGGTTTGGGCAATGGCCATGTAGGTTCATACAGTGACATCTCTGATTCTTTGAGATTAAAGCAGTATTGAGACAACAACTTTAAATGTAGAATGGCAGTCAGCAGGACCTGGAGAGTTTTTTATACTGAGCTGTAAAATTCACTTGTGTAAACATTACTTGCATATTTTAAATGAATAACATCCCACTCTTGTGTTGTGGTGATGAATAAAGACAGACCAAATAAGAACATTTGTTAATATGTTATGAAAAATGAACTCTTAGGCAGCTTTCCAGATCTGCAGCCCCAGTTTCTTTATGAATTTTGTTGAGCCCTCTACATTCTGTAACTCCTTTCCCTGTTATACCTACCAGCAGGAAGCCTCAGTGTGGGCATAAATAAATATTAGTAGCATTTCATGTTTGCTTTCTTCAAGCCCAATGAATTATTCAGCTAGGAGGCTTACAAAACAGTCCTCTAAATCCTGCATCGCTTATCTCTCTATTCTGAAAGTTATATACTGTACCTGAATTTCCACCTTGTGGTTCCTAGAAACTCAGAAAGGGTATAAAAACAATGACTAGTCAGTGGTAGCAGTAACAACAGTACAGTCCAGAGCCCTGCCTACCGTTTGATGGCTAATCTACGTGAAGCAGAGTTCTGTGCATTTCACTCGAACTATGGCTTATTCTTTTTTGGACTGTCTTCTTATCCTTATAATAACAGCATTTCACTGTTCCTACTTTGCACATGAAGAAATTGAGCCTCAAAAACATCACTTAACTTGTACAGAGACCACGTCACATGGAAGCGATGGAGTCAGCATTCATTCCTAGGTGTCATATTTGAAGGACTAAAAAATTTTTCCAAGAAAAATTAGTAAATTTTCATTATTTTAGCTTAGTTGAGTTTTTATTTTATTTTATTTTTTGCTAACAATACTTAAAAATGATAGTTTTTTTTTAAGACTACCAAATATTTTCAAATGTGTTTATACATACAGATGACGTGTTTATACTGTTTTCACTCACGCTGATGGAAACTTTAATATTGGTCATGTAGATGGAGTAGTGACTCTTGCATATGGATTGTTTCTGTAAGATGAACAATTTCATATCCCTTCGTAGAACAGGTATTACTAATTTGTATAGTTTTTAAAGAGTCACCCTGTTCTAAGATAATTTATATAAAGCAATAGGCAGTGATAGTCTTGAGAGCCTACCTAAAAGACAGTGCTCTTTAAGGACACAGAATATATTTCACTTTTAAATCACAGTGACCACTGGTTATGGAAAAATAGTCTAATTATTAGATGTTTGAAAGTTTTGTTCCTTAATCTGTCAGCATAAATTAATAACATGTTAATGTGCACATTAAGGAAATCAGATAAGAGGTTTTTCTTTTAAAACTCAAAGAGCTGTTTATTTTCAAGACTTGAATTTGTTTTTCTGAATTTTTTTTCTGTTACAGGTCTGTCTCTCTCAATACAAATAGTGAATGAAGTCATTGCCTATATTACCTTTTCAAATGATTTGATAGTAAATAAATAGTAAAATCCCCCAACTTAATTGAATAATGATTTTGGCTCCAGTTTTGGCAGTTGCTATTAATATGTGTGCCTCTCTCTCTCTCTCTCTCTCTCTCTCTCTCTCTGTGTGTGTGTAAAAATTACAAATTGAGAAGCATATTTAAAGTAACTGTGTGTTAATTAGAGATAATTTATGAATTTTTATTAACAAATTCGAGTAATATCCAGGAGAAGATATATTTTGTTTTGAAAGTTTTCCCTCACAGAAAATGTTAATTAAAGTGTTTTCAGACTTGATTTACATAAAAGGTGAGAGGTTTCAAAGAATATTATCATTACACTGTGAATGGTGTGAAAAAAGCAAATGAGTAAGAAGAAGAGTGTTAAAAGTTGCATACACTAATAAACTCTTTTTAGCAACAGGAATAATTTTAAGTCATTTACTTGACTTAGTGAATACTTTACTATGAAATATAGTAACTGAAGCAACACATTATATACTTTTTAACAGTTTAGTGTATTGAACTTTTTGGAAAAATTATCCAGAAATTACATGTACTAGAAGAAAGTTATAATATGCCAACAGTAAATTACCTTGCCGAATGAAATTTTCTTTTATAGAATCTTCCCTTAGGATTTGCACAGTTCTCTTTATGCATGTACAGTTTACAGACCGAAACACAAAACACTCTTTACACAATGTGTTGAGTAATTCTCTGCTGATACTAATTAAGTTCCCTTGAGTAGAATATGGTACAAGTAAGCTTGCATGCCAGAAGTGTCTTGGAGAATTTGTTGTATTACTTTAGACTCTTTATCTATTACCAAAAGGTCTTCAAAATGTAGACAGTTCTGAACATGTCAATGTCCCAGAGAAACAATGACTGTATAGTTTCTGAGCAGTGTGTCTCATGTTCAAGTATGCAGGTGCTATCCTCCCCAACATGGCTGGAATTGCTGCCTCTCTTTCTACCAGGCTGCCACAGTTAATGCTGTGTCCAAGGAAATAACTGTGAACTACTGGGGAGGATTCTCACCTCAGCTGTAATCCAATTAACATCTGAAAGAGATGGCCAGGAATCTCCTCTACTGTATACCTTCCTAGTAGGCAACTCTCCTTGATGTATTATATGGATACTTACCATACAAAGCTACCTCACCATTCTATAATAGTTCAAATTGTTAAAATGTTCTTCCTTAAAATTCAGTGTGTTACAAAGCTGTGCATTGTGGGATACCCTGTTATCCCAGCACTCTGGGGAGGCTGAGGCATAAGAATTGCAAGTTCAAGCTCAACCTAGGCAATTTAGTAAGTTAGTGAGACCCTGTCTCATTTAATAATAATAATATAAAGCAAAACAGCCAGGGATTTGGCTCAGTAGTTCCGCAGCCTGCCTTGCAAGCACAAGGACCTGAGTTCAATTCCCAGTACCAAAACAAACAAACAAAAAAAATTCAACATAATATAAAGCAAAACAAACAAAATAATCATCTGGCATATAGCTTGATGTAAAGATTTAGTCCCTACTACCAAATACAAAAAAATTACTAAGTTAGCAAAACACAAATCAATATACATAATTTAATCCCCAACTAGTCTTTAAAAAGAAAATGTTTAAACTATTTGAAAATGTCTTTAGAAAAGTGCAGAATTATTTGAAGGAAGCTACAAAATTTCACTAATAGAAATAAAGTTGGTGTTAACATTACTAATATTAATTTATCGCTATACAATAATTCTCAAATTCCCAAAGGGAGTTATTTTTTAGATGTTTGCAAAACTAACAGTTCACCCTACAGGACAAATTGATGAGAATACTTGAAAACCTTTTAGGGAATTAAAAAAAAATAGTTGTGAAATATTTTCCTAACCAAGTGCTAATGCATGCAATAAAGCTAAAATAGTTTAAATAATATAATTCTAACATAAAAGTGAACATAGGGGAATGGCACCATAAAGTCAGGTAAAAGAATTCTGTATATGTACTTTTTTTATAAATAGGCCATTAAGGATACATATGGAGGATTTACTCCTAAGTGAAATAAATAAGTCACGTGTGTAAATACCGGATAGTTTCTCTGGTGTGAACAAACTATAGTAGTACATAAGCTCCTAATGAGATAACTGACATTGTGAAATGGGAAGAAAAGGGCTAAAGGTGTAGGGAAAGTGGGAAGGGTAGGGGAAAACTAATAAGGGAAAGAAAAAATATAGGAGAAAATGAAAAAATGGAAATAAAATGTTTGTAAATGGGGAGGGGGAGGAGGAGGTGAAAGGAGCACAGGGACAAGGGGAAAAAATGAGAACCAAGACCTGTCATGTAAAGGTTCAAGATCTCAATAATGAATGTAACTGTACTGTATACCTAATATGTACCAATAAACTCAATAAAGAAAAAAAATAATAACTAGGCCATTAAAAATGCTTGTTTAATTTTGGAAAGTTTTTTCTTTAAACTGAGGTAGAATTCTCATTTATACTGATATAAAAAAAATCCCAAATTGATAAAAGAATTTATATTTTTAAAATAACTTTTAAAGTTACAGGATCATGGAATTGAGTCAGAACTATGTCAGAACATTGCAAACTTTAACAAATTAAAGTCCAAAAGAAAAAAATATCAATATATAACTTCACGAAAATATTGAAAGTCATCATTGTGGTAGCACATGCCTCTAATCTCAGCACTTGTGAGGCTGAGGCAAGAGGATTGTACTGAGTTCAAGGCCAAACTGGGGTACATAGTCAGTTCAAGGCCAATCTAAACTACAAAACAAGACTCTCAAAAAACAAAAAGAAAAATAATGAAAGTTAATAAGCAAAAGTAAAGCAAGTGGTGATTTCAATAGAATATTCTGTTTAAAACATCACATAATTTATATTTAATATATAAATAATGTAAAGAAATAGGAACAAAAGTAAATTTGTGATTAAATCAAAATTGCAAATGGCTGGCAAATACATAAATAAAAATTCAATTGTAATTATTAATCAGCATAGCAAACATCTCAATCATGCATCTAACCTATGACTAAAAGTTCCTATTTCTGGGAATCTACCCATAGGCATAAAAAAATAAGTCATGCGTATTACATATGCATATATAGTTGATGACAAACTAAGGGAAAATTCACCATATGAATTCCAAGAATTTCAATTGTTGGAACAGCGGCTATAGATCATGAAAGTGTTACATTTTATCATATTCGTATTTACTTCTCCTGTGTATATTTTCTCTAATATTCTCCCAGCTTCTTTTCTCCATGGAAACCATGTTTAATTTTATAAAAATAGTATCTTTCACTTTTTAAATTTGATTACTGTTATAAATAACTTAACAGTAACATTTAACCTATATAGAACTTAGTATTTAGTTGAGACTACATGTTTACTACATAGGCTTTTGTTCTTTGTCCTGGGACCCTGGCAAACATCTGTATTGCAATTACTATAAGGTTAGGTGTTCACAATTTACAATAATAATAGATAATAAGGATGATGACAGATAATAACATATAATAGATATTTCCTGTGAGCTTACTTTATGCCAGTTACTGTAATAAACCCTTTATAGACACTATTTTGTTTCATCTTTACAGCCCTTTACAATAGCACCTTTTTGCACATTGTAATCTTTACAGTTACCCAATTTAGACTGTCAGTATTTTTATTGCCCCTATTTATGAACAAGATAATGAAACCAGAGAGATATAATGTGAAATTACAAACTACTTTAAAAAATGTCAGATTTATACCAAGATCTCCTTGACTTCAAACCTGTTACTCTTGCCTTCCAGTTTGAAGCACAGGATTTCCTTGAGAATTTTCAAGATACTGGGAATGTTGTGTTGTGTTACAATCATTTCTATAGTTATGTGTAAAATATTGTGGATTATCAAATGATAAATAATGAGATATTTGCAGTCAGTATTAAACTGTAAATTAGAGTGTAATGATTCGAGTTTTGCCTTTCAGACAACTTTAATGTATTTTAATAAATTATTTATAATAATCATTCATTTGAATATTTAAGATAGTTCAGTATGTGCCTATAGAGGTTTACAGTTTGTCTTCCATGATACTAAAATCCAAAATCCATAGAAAAATCATATTTCATTTCTTGAATATATCTAGAGCTTTGCCAGGGATGTGGCTCAGTGGTTCTGCTGCTTGCTTCACAAGCACAAGGGTCTGAGTACAATCCCCGGTACAAAAAATAAATAAATAAATAAATAAATAAATAAATAAATAAATAA